TGGCGCGGCTGGCGCTGGTCCTACTGGGCTGGGTCTCCTCGACCTCCCTCCCCTCGTCGGCGTCCTCCTCCACCTCCTCGGCATCTTTCCCGGCTACCGCGGCATCCGGCCAGCCCCCGCTGCCGGGCCGATGCCCGCCGCCGTGTGAGTGCTCCGAGGCGGCACGCACCGTCAAGTGCGTGAACCGCAACCTGACCGAGGTGCCGGCCGACCTGCCCCCCTACGTGCGCAACCTCTTCCTCACGGGCAACCAGCTGGCCGTGCTGCCCGCCGGCGCCTTCGCCCGCCGGCCGCCGCTGGCTGACCTGGCCGCGCTCAACCTCAGCGGCAACCGCCTGAAGGAGGTGGACGCCGGCGCCTTCGAGCACCTGCCCGGCCTGCGCCAGCTCGACCTCAGCCACAACCCACTGATCGACCTCAGCCCCTTCGCCTTCTCGGGCAGCAACGCCAGCGTAGCGGCCCCCAGCCCCCTGGTGGAGCTCATCTTGAACCGCCTCGAGCCCCCCGCGGCCGAGCGACACAACCGGAGCTTTGAGGGGATGGTGGCAGCGGCCCTGCGAGCGGGCCACGCGCTGCGGGGGCTCCGCCGCCTGGAGCTGGCCAGCAACCAGCTCCTCTACCTGCCCCGCGACGTCCTGGCCCAGCTGCCCGGCCTCCGGCACCTGGACCTCCGCAACAACTCCCTGGTGAGCCTGAGCCACGTGTCCTTCCGGAACCTGACGCGCCTCGAAAGCCTGCACCTGGAGGACAACGCCCTCAAGGTCCTGCGCAACGGCACCCTGGCCGAGCTGCAAAGCCTGCCCCACGTCCGGGTCTTCCTGGACGACAATCCCTGGGTCTGTGACTGCCACATGCCGGACATGGTGGCCTGGCTCAAGGAGACCGAGGTAGTGCAGGGCAAAGGCAGGCTCACCTGTGCGTTCCCGGAGAAAATGAGGCATCGGGTCCTCGTGGAACTCAACAGCTCCGACCTGGACTGTGACCCTATCCTCCCTCCGTCCCTGCAGACGTCTTATGTGTTCCTGGGTATTGTTTTAGCCCTGATAGGCGCCATCTTCCTCCTGGTTTTGTATTTGAACCGCAAAGGGATAAAGAAGTGGATGCATAACATCAGAGATGCCTGTAGGGATCACATGGAAGGGTATCATTACAGATACGAAATCAATGCGGACCCCAGGTTAACAAACCTCAGCTCGAATTCAGATGTCTGAGAAGCGCGAGGACAGAACGAGGACAACTCTGCATGAGATGTAGACTTCAGCTTTATCCCGTCCTAGGCTTGCTTCACTTCCACCCTCCACTGTAGCCACCAGTGACCTTGACTGAAAGCAGCGAAGGGAATTTGCTCCCTTCTTCTGTAAAGTTTCTGGGTGTGTTCTGGTACTGTGGGACGATGAACAACTGTGCATAGTGTTTTATCCTCTTCCTTCTTGGAACTCAACATGTGTGGAGGGATGTTTTCAAGTTTCAGCATGAACATGGCCTCCTGGCTGTTTTCCTCTTAGTACAGTTCAAGGTGTAGCAAGTGTACTCTCACTGATAGCATTCAACAAAAGCTGCCTCAACTTTTTTGAGAAAAAGACTTATTTCATAAATATCAGTTTTATTCTCATGTACCGAAATTGTGGAGAGAATGATTACATTTCATAAACTGCCTGCAGACCTTAGCAAGCTCTTCAAAGTAACTCCATAGTCCACGGAGCCCCTGCATCCGAGAGCATGCTTACATTTTACTGTTCTGCATATTTCAAAAAATAACTTGCAACTTCAGATAACTTCTTGACAAGTTACTTTTTTGATTGCAGTTTATATGAAACTATGCTGAAGTTTTTTTATAAACTGCATCAAGAGCCAACAATCTAAATTGTTAAAAAAAAAATTCAATAAAGATTCCTAAAAGAATTATAGCTGTGTTCAAGTTTGCTATTTGAAAAAAGGATTAGAGGCAGTGATACTGAATGGTTTTGGTTCTGCTGATAATTAAGCTGTTATTATAGCTGAGAATGAAAGAGGAGCAGTGTCTTATACAGACAGGCTTTGGAGATAAATTTGAGATGGTGGATCCTTTCACGATTTACATAGAGAAGTTGAATATTCATGTGAAAGTTAATGCTATTCATTAAATGATTTGGTAAAAGCATTATAAAGTTGGTAAGAAGGAAGATTTCTGTAAAACAAACAGTTCACATTTTGGGTTTTTTCCTAGGCTGATTAAGTTAGGACAGAACAAAATTAGTTACATAATAAAACCCTCCATAGAAAATTGTTCTGTGGATTTTTAGGGCTGAGTGTGAAACAAACATAATGCAAATAAATGCATGAAAGTGAAGTGTCTTAAGACAATATTCTAAAATAAAAGATTTTAAAATGTAAATAAAAAATTCCTAATATCATAATGTAAATTGGAACTTAGATTTTCTTGAGAATATATTTTTTAAATGCATAAAATAAAACATACAGGGTTGATGGTTTGATTATCAGAGACCCTGCTAATGTGCTTAAAAAATTTGTCATGGTACAATATGAATTTGAGGAAATAACCAGGAATAACTGTCTATAATTATAAACAAGTGTCTCAATCAGTTTCTTAAGTTAAATCAGTATTTAAGAATTTGGGGACATTTTGATTTAAGCTAAATTCAATGTTAGCATATACACCTTTATGAAGAATGAATCACATTTAGCAGTAAATAAAAGCAATTGGTTAATGAAGTGGTATTGTCAACGATAGGCAAGATTTTCTTTTTCTTTCAGTTTATTATTTGCCAATTAAGCTTAAGAGTAAATTCCATTAATCTCTAACCTCTTATATAAAGTGATCTTAATTTAGCTATTATTGTTTAATTTAAAGTGTAGGTAAATTTGTATCAGTAAGTCTTAGGGCCCTTGCCCTTTAAAATGATTATGTTTTAGAGAGTTTTATATTTGAAATAAAATTTAAGTTTCCATATTTTTATAAATGAAATAGGATTAGGTAGTACTTAAGTTGTAGAAATCTTTTTTAGAATAGAATAGAAACATTTTCCCTCTTTGAATTAAACTCAAGTTTTCAAAATAGAGCTAAAAATATCTGAATTTGTTCCTTGTTTAGATTAGGCATATGATATTTTAATTTTAAGTATATTAAGTTTTCTAAGGCTCATTTTATGAAATAGTATTCATTATTTTCAGGTTATACTTTAGATCCTATAACTCCCTAAGAAAAGGTTAAATATATGGTACTTAATATTCCATTAAACATTTTAAATGTTCACCAGCAATTCATAAACTGGGTAGCTGCCATTATTTCCTAAGGATGATGCCAAAAATTATCAAAAACATCTAATAAATAAAAGCACACCATCTTAGAAATAAACTGCCAATGGACTTTCATTGGTAAGTCTGTTGATACTGTACAAAACAACAAACTAATATTTATAGAGTCTCTGTTCAGAAGAATTATTTCATCATGTGAGAGTCTAAAAGTTAAAAACTGACCTTTATCTAAGATCAAGGAAAGCAGTAGATTTGTTAGTCTAGATTTTCTCATCATCAACTCACTGAAGCAGAATCTGTGGTACAGTGAAGCTGAGTTTTTAGCCTGTTAAGTGATGGCTTTTTTGAAGTTTATGATTTCTCACTTCTTCCTTTGTATAAACTTCCCAATTTAATATCATATCACTGCTTGCTATTCCCCAATACATGGCAATATATTCTTAAGGTAAAAAAAACTGTTTGAAAACAGTTCTATTGTATGGTCATAATACTCTAGGTCTATAAGCCTGTAGGGCTTCTCTGGTAGTTCAGCTGGTAAAGAACCTGCCTGCAGTGCAGGAGATCTGGGCTTGATCCCTGGGTTGGGAAGATCCCTTGGAGGAGGGCATGGCAGCTCATTCCAGTAATCTTGCCTGGAGAATCCCCATGGACAGAGGAGCCTGGCAGGCTACAGTTCATGGGGTCCCAAAGAGTCAGACACAACTGAGGACCGAAGCACAGCACAGCATAAGCTTCTAAGGCATTCTGAACTCCTTGGCAGAAGGCAGATAGGTGCTATAAAAGTCCAATAAGGATAACAGAATAGGCAGAAAGAAAATGACAGTATCATCATTGAAGTGCACTTGTTTTAAACACTTTCTTAGTATCATGGATCATGGATCCTAGACACCTCCAAGTAATCCATTTTTGAAATTTTTGCTTGGTGATACATTGTTACTTAGCAAAGGTTTCAGCAGAAAACACCCTTTTTTCTTTACCAGTTTCATTTTAAGAAAGTTAGAAAAATGCTTAAAAATGTAAGCACTTGATAAATCCCTCAATTTAAAAGGTTATTAAAATGTCCAATAAATTTCAAGTTAAAGTGGCAAGAATTTAGGCTAATACACCTTGACCCTGAATTGTAACTCCCCCCTTTCAATGGACTAATTCAGTTTGCAGCATTAATATATGTATCATCAATTTTGCTGCCCCATGTGATTCAGAAGTGACCCATGAGGCACATTTATACCTTATAACTGACAGATTTTTCTTACAAAGTGAGGAGTCTTTGAAGCACATTAAAAAAAATGTGCCTCCAAAAAATTTAAAGACAGAAGAGCTGCTTTAATTGATAGACTGATAATAGATAAGATTCCCCCCCCCCCCCACCAGAGGTGGAGAAAAGATTGGTTGAAATAAATGGTAAATCCTTTAAAATTACCTTGATTGGGAGCAAATGTGGATTATGGTCACCTCAATATATAATCAGAAATAAGTTACAGCTTTGTTTTCTGTCTTAACTAAAGTGGGTAGGAAAAAAAAAGATCCTAAATGAACTGTCATTTTTCCTTAGGGATTCTGTCTGTCATTCATTTCAGTTGCTCATTTGTGTCCAATTCTTTGTGACCCCATGGATTGCAGCACACCAGGCTTCCCTGTCTTATTACCAACTCCCAGAGCTTGCTCAAACTCATGTTCATCAAGTCAGTGATGCCATAACCATCTCACCCTCTTAGACTTGTGTTCCAAATATGGGGCTTACTTACTTGAGGACATCAGAGGCTTTGCAGCTCTAGTTTGGGAAACTTTGCTATCATCTGTGCTGGATTGCAAGATTAAACCCAGTTTGGCCCGTGCTTTCTTCCTGCTCCAAAATCCATTCAGTCATCCGTCAGAGAGCAGCACCCTAAAGTGAAGACAGACATTTTTCACATGAGATTCAAGTTTCACTTTTACACTTGTGCAAGGATTTTTCATAGTAAAGGAGAGGGAAGAAGGAAATGAGATTTCTAGATTGTATATGGAAAAGACCTCGATGATGTCTTTCTTAAATCTTTCAGTGATTCTGCAGTGCTGTGCTTGAAATAGTTAAAAAAATATATATTCTGGATTGTCCAGGTGATCCTGTGTTTTAGAAGGAGAAAAACAGCTCCTTGAGGGTGTTTTGTACAGGTATTTTTCATTCCTAGAAATGTTTGATTAAAAACACAGGCTGGTTTTATGTTGTGTTTTACCTTTTTTTTTCTTAGTTGTTTTAATTTATTTTTTATTGAAGAATAATTGCTTTAAAAATTTTGTTGTTTTCTGTCAAACCTCAACATGAATCAGCCATAGGTATACACATATCCCCTCTCTTTTGAACCTTGCTTCCATCCCACTCCTCTAGGTTGACACAAAGCCCCTGTTTGAGTTTCCTGAGACATACAACAAATTCCCCTTGGCTCTCTATTTTATATATGGTAATGTAAATTTCTATGTTACTCTCTCTTGCCTTAAAAGAGGTCATCTCTTACCTTAAAACATTTTTGCAGCTCTGACTTTGCCATGCGTTAAACAAAAAAAATCTAGATTTAAAAAATATTTAATATATGATTTATGTATTTTTAACAAGAACCAGAATTCTCACTATTTTAAAATTGGATGGGCTCCTAAATGTGTCAAGCCCAGATTCTCATTCTACCCTACAAATGAATATCTAATAGTTGTGACCTATTGTTAATACAGCAACAACCAGGACTAGGTCTCAGGTTCCACCCTCCCCTTCCAGTCCTTTTTTGACTACATGATGGTATTGCTAATTACCTACCTTGAGACCTTTGAAATCCTCATGTCTAATTTTTTAAAAGGCAACTGATGGGAATTTGTTTTATTGTTTTTGCTTTGCACTCAAACATTCACTATATTTGTTCAAATTTAACTGTCAGTGTGTTAAAAAAAATGAGTTTCAGACCCCTGTAGTTGTTCTTCAGTCACTCAGTCATGTCCGACTCTCTGCGACCCCATGGACTGCAGCACGTCAGGCTTCCCTGCCCTTCACCATCTCCCAGAGCTTGCTCAAACTCATGTCCATTGAGTCAGCAATACCATCCAACCATCTCTTACTCTGTCGTCCCCTTCTCCTGCCTTCAGTCTTTTCCAGAATCAGGGTCTTTACTGATGAGTCAGCTCTTTGGATCAGGTGGCCAAAGTTGGAGCTTCAGCTTCACCATCAGTCTTTCCAGTGAATATTCAGGATTGATTTCCTTTAGGATGGAGACTCCAAGGGACTCTCAAGAGTCTTCTCCAACACCACAGTTCAAAAGCATCAATTCTTCAGTGCTCAACCTTCTTTATGGTCCAGCTCTCACATCCATACATGACTACGGGAAAATCCACAGCTGTATAAGACCTTTGTTGTCAAAGTGACATCTTTGCTTTTTAACACACTATCTAGGCTAGTCATAACTTTCCTTCCAAGGAGCAAGCACCTTTAATTTCATGGCAGCAGTTACCATCCTTAGCGATTTTGGAGGCCAAGAAGATAAAATTCATCACTGCTTCTACTTTTCCCCCATCTATTTGCCATGAAGTGATGGGACTGGATGCCATGATCTTAGTTTTTTTGAATGTGGAGTTTTAGGCCAGCTTTTTCACTCTCCTCTTTCACTTTCAAGAGACTCTTTAGTTCCTCTTCACTTTCTGCCATAAGGGTGCATATCTGAGAGTATTGATATTTCTCCTGCAGTCTTGATTCTGGCCTGTGCTTCATCCAGCCTGGCATTTCGAATGATGTGCTCTGCATTTAAGTTAAATAAGCAGGGTGACAGTACACAGCCTTGACATACCCCTTTGCCAATTTTTGAACCAGTCTGTTGTTCCATGTCCAGTTCTAACTGTTGCTTCTTGACCTGCATACAGATTTCTTAGTAGGCAAGTAAGGTGGTCTGGTATTCCCATTTCTTGAAGAATTTTCTGCAGTTTGTTGTGATCCACACAGTCAAAGGCTTTAGCATAGTCAATGAAGCAGATGTTTTTCTGGAATTCTCTTGCTTTTTTTTATGATCCAGAGGATGTTGGCTATTTGATCTCTGGTTCCTCTGCCTTTTCTAAATCCAGCCTGAACATCTGGAAGTTCTTGGTTCACATCTGTTGAAGCCTAGCTTGGAGAATTTTGAGCATTACTTTGCTAGTATGTTCATTTCAGTTCAGTTGCTCAGTTGTGTCCGACTCTTTACAACCCCATGAATCGCAGCATGCCAGGCCTCCCTGTCCATCACCAACTCCCGGAGTTTACTCAAACTTGTGTCCATCGAGTTGGTGACACCATCCAGCCATCTCATCCTCTGTTGTCCCCTTCACCTCCTGTCCCCAATCCCTCCCAGCATCAGGGTCTTTTCCAATGAGTCAATTCTTCGCATGAGGTGGCCAAAGTATTGGAGTCTCAGCTTCAGCATCAGTCCTTCCAATGAACACCCAGGGCTGAACTCCTTTAGGATGGACTGGTTGGATCTCCTTGCAGTCCAAGGGACTCTCAAGAGTCTTCTCCAACACCATAGTTCAAAAGCATCAATTTTTGGTGCTCAGCTTTCCTCACAGATGAGTGCAATTGTGCGGTAGTTTGAACAATCTTTGGCATTGCCTTTCTTTGGGATTGGAATGAAAACTGACCTTTTCCAGCCCTGTGGCCACACTGAGTCTTCCAAATTTGCTGGTATATTGAGTGCAGCACTTTCACAGCATCATCTTTTAGGATTTGAAGTAGCTGAGCTGAAGTTTCATCACCTTCACTCGCTTTGTTCATAGTGATGCTTCCTAAGTCCCACTTGACTTTTCACTCCAAGATGTCTGGTTCTATGTGAGTGATAACATTATTGTGGTTATCTGGGTCATTAGGCTCTCTTTTATATACTTTGTCTATGTATTCTTGTCATCTCTTCTTAATATCTTCTGCTTCTGTTAGGTCCCTACCGTTTCTGTCCTTTATTGTGGCCCATTTTTGCATGAAATGTGCCCTTGGTATCTCTAATTTTTTTGAAGAGATCTCTAGTCTTTCCCATTCCATTGTTTTCCTCTATTTCTTTGCTGTGATCACTGAGGAAGGCTTTCTTATCTCTCCTGCTATTCTTTAGAACTCTGCATTCAGATGGGTATATGTTTCCTTTTCTGCTTTGCCTTTCATGTCTCTTCTTTTCGCAGCTATTCATAAGGCCTTCTCAGACAACTGTTTTGCCTTTTTTGCATTTCTGTTTCTGTGGGATGGTTTTGGTCGTCGCTTCCTGTACAATGTCACGAACCTCCGTCCATAGTTCTTCAGACACTCTATCAGATCTAATCTAATCCCTTAAATCTATTTGTCACTTCTACTGTATAATCATAAGGGATTTGATTCCAGTCCCCTATGATGAAAAAGACTTTCATACCCCTGAGTATGCTTAAATATGTTTGAAATAACTTGGTCATAGGAAATCTTATTACTGTAAAGCTCCTCTGAGCTCATATGAGCCCATCAGAGTTCAGAAATTTAATGGTGGTATTTCTTGGGAAGTGAAAAAGAAAACTCTGGAAAGCTGTGCTAGCCTGTGTAATTCTATCTTAAAAGATGAGTTAGCTCAGCTGGTGAGAACAACAAACAAATAAGACCAAGTTCACGGCCGTGAAGTCACTCAATCACCAGGTGAGATAGCTTTGCATGCTCGGCTCTCCAGGCCCACACCCGCTCCAGGTGCAGGCTGCCTCTCTTTCTCTGAGGACCGAGACCAAACAGGGCATCCAAATCAATGCAAATCCATCATCACCCTGGAAAACCAGTGGCCTGATGGGCCAAATCCTGCCAGTCCTGCTGCGGATGTGCCAAGTTCATTGTCTTTATATATACAGGACTGACCTCATGACAGCCTCTGCATTCGTACCTTGTAGTATGCATGTCACAGATCACAAAAACTTCCTCATTTATGTGAATTTTGAGAAAAATCTATCGTTGGTGCCTTTTAATGTGTTACATGGAAGTTCATTAGGTTTGCTTGACTACTGAAAATGAAAATATGGTGTAAGAATTTAGATCATGATTACCATATCACAAACCTGTATGGAAATGTTGATAAAAACAGAAATGCAGTTTATGTTTAGCTGATATTTACTGCTAATAGGATTTACTACTAGTTCCCATTTGAAGGTGGTGAATATAAGGATATATTTGCTTTTAAGGAAGCCAAAGCTTAAATAATGACCGACTATAATACTTTCGTGCAAAGCAAATATTTGAGAATATGTTTTCCAGGGCTTGAAGATGTTACCAAGAGAGGCTTTTTTAAAGTGGAAGTTTACAGTTCTCCCCCACCCTGAACCCCTGTAGTCATTTTTGTACAACTGGGTTTTCTTTCCTCAAAGAGAACTATGATATGTAACATTTCAAGGTGACGACTTGGCGCAGTAGAGAACTGGACTGACTGAAACCCTAGGTCGGTCAGTTTACAGATGTACCTTTCTGTGTGTGATGCAGCTTCTCTTGAGTTTATGACAATACAGCTAGTTAAATGTATTCAAGGACGACTTTACTCTTTTCAGTTAGACACATTCTGTAGTTATTTTTACTTATTTTTTGGCTGTGCCATGCGGCACAGGGGATCTTAGTTCTCCAAGTAGGGATCAAACTCACGCCCCTTGCATTGGAAGTGCAGAATCTTAACCACTGGACCACCAGCAAAATCCCTCTGTAGTTATTCTTATAGATCATGGCAAACACATAGCTATTAAACATATGAAGGCGATTTTTAAATTAATTGTTTCTTGCAGATTATTTAAAAATACAAGGGGACAAACACCATGAATAATCCTATTACTAAGGAAAAAGCACCTTAATATCAATTAAACCACCTTCTGTTTGTATTATATCTCGTCTTTTCATTTACAATGTTATGAGCATTCCCC